GTATCAAAAGTTTCATATCTTCGTTATTAATGGCTAATAAACAATGAGTATCAAAAGTTTCATATCTTCATTGAAGATACTTCAAACTTGATAATTATGCTAATAAACAATGAGTATCAAAAGTTTCATATCTTCATTAGATACTTCATACTTGGTAATTATGCAGCTTTGTTAACTTTGTGAACACTAAATAAAATATATGTGAAATTACATTTTTCAATATGTGAAACCCTCTATATAGGTATAATAGATTGATTATAAGGGATTCAAATTTCTCAAACTTAGAATGAAAGTAGTGGAATAGTATTGACCTAGAATCAAGATAGTCGAGTGGTATTGGCGTCAGGAGCGGACACAAGATTTCATTGTAAGCATGGCATGGGAAAAATAGTAGTAGTACGATAGTAGAAAAAAAAAAGTCAAAACTTTTTACACTGTATATACAGAAGTCAGACGTTGCCGGTGCTACTGTGGGACAATATAAAAAACTACTCTGCTGTGGGACACTAATAAAAAACTACTCCCGATTGGCATAGAATCAAAGAGTTGTGTTTTGACATCTCATAGAAAAGTATGAATTTTTAAAATCATGGTAGTAGACTAGTATTTGGATAGTCTAGGACATAGCTTAGTTTACATTGTTTGTCAACCAATTTTCTTCTCGTCAGTCTCCTTTTCCTATTTACAACATGTGCAACCAGTATCCTTTTTCAACTTACTTCCTATGTATGCTTGATTCCCATTATTATCATTTTTAAATTAACACATAAAAGTCTTCAATGATTTTTTTAAAAGATGAGCCACATGGCCCATATCCTGCTCTTTTCTAGACAATGTCAATAGATCTGCCACCTAGTTACAAGATATCAATTATTTTTATGTTTTTGTTTTTCTTTAACAAATCTAATTTAGAATATGTATGATACTAATACGTTTCTATTTAACACTCTTCCTTTCAAACAAGACCTACAGTTTCAAAATATCATGTAGGGTTTTTCTTTCCTTTTCGTAACAAATCTTATTTTAAAAATATATAGACAATACTAATAAGTTTTAATTTAACATTTTTTAACTTTAAATCAAAGAAAGTGATATTTTAGTTTAATATACAACATAAAAGCATCTTCATTATTGATTTATTGTAGTTTTCAATGAACGTTGTAAAGACATATTATTTATTTTAAATTTATAATATACTTATTCAATTAAATTTATGTATGAAAGAAGGTCGTTTGGATATTCTGGTTCGGTTATGATTTCTCGTTCTATAAACAAAAATTAAGCTGAACCTAAAAGAACACTCTAAAAACAAAATCCAAACATGCGGTTTTTCAAAATGGTTGGGTTGTTCGATTTTTTGGTTTTAGTTTGTCATTGGTTTTTTTGCATAGCCTAGCAATTATATAGGTTTTGATATTTAACTCACGCCCCCTTGAACACAGTCAAAATTTTCTTGATATATATAATTTTAATTTAATAATAAGTGCTCATGTACTAGTCTCCACAATACATCATTGTATTAGGCTTAGCAGTATGGTGGCTTCATAAGACGCGTAGTGTTGAGGTGGCAAGGCACCCTACGTGTGAACACCGTCTCAGGTGCGCGTACTAGTCTCCACTCTCCACAATACATCATTGTATTAGGCTTAGCAGTATGGTGGCTTCAGAAGACGCGTAGTGCTGAGGTGGCAAGGCACCCTACGCGTGAACACCGTCTCAGGTGCGCGTAGGTGCCTTGTGGCGTAGGTGCAGCTACGGGTGAAGACGGAAAAACTATTTGGTTAATGACTTTTTTGACCGTTTCCTCCTTTTTCCTTTTGAACGTTGGATTTAATGAAAATAATAATAATAAAATTCAAACTAAAAGTTAACATATATATAAATACATACACTCTAAATTTATCAAAAATATTTTCAAACACTCTTTTAAACACACTTTCAAACATAAATATGAATAGTTTTGCAGGTTCGATTCCGATGATGATGACGACTCTGATGATGACGACTTGGTGTTGCACACGTTGTTGTTTGTGGCACGCGAAAGGATGCGACAAAGAGGCAAAAGTTCAAATGTCGAGAAGAAACATAGAATTTCGATAAATCGGGATCGTATCGCGGTACACGAGCTTTTGGTACGTGATTACTTTGTCCCTGATAGTTTGTATGACCTATCAAAATTTGAAGAACGATTCCGTATTAGTAGAAATTTATTTTTACGTATAACTAGAAATTTATTTTTACGTATAACTAGAAATTTGAAGAACAATTATGGGATGCTAGAGGTAAACGTGGTTTTAGTCCAATACAAAAATGCACAACAACTCTTAGACAATTGACATACGGCATAGCCACAGACGCTTCAGATGGGTATTTGAAAATGTCTGAGAGAACTGGTCGAGAATGTGCTAATTTTTTTTTTGTGAGTATGTCATAGAGCTTTATGGTGACATATACTTGCGACATCCAACTAGAAATGATGTCGAACAGTTGTATGCCGCACATAAAGCTAAACATGGCTTTCCAGGAATGCTTGACAACATTGATTGTACACATTGGGAGTGGGCAAATTGTCCCAATGCATGGCGAGGTCAATTCACACGAGGTGATCATGGCGTGCCGACTGTTGTACTAGAGGCCATTGTTTCACATGACCTATGGTTTTGACATGCATTTTTTGGTATGGCGGGGTCAAACGACGACCTGAATGTGTTTGGAGCGTCTTCGATATTTAATGATATTTTGCAGGGTAAAGCACCAAACATGCTGTTCGTTGTGAATGAACATCAATATAATTATGGGTATTATCTTGGTAATGAGATATATCCAGAGTACGCTATGTTTGTCAAGTCGTACTCATTTCCGGCCGATGAAAAACAAAAATTGTTCAAGTTAGCACAAGAATCGGCAAGGAAGGATGTGGAACGGGCGTTTGGGTCCTCAAACAAAAGTGGCACATTATTAAACATTCGGCATAGTCATGGGATAGGGCAAAACTGACGAAGGTGTTGACTGCTTGTGTTATTTTATATAACATGATAATAGAAAAAGAGGGTAGGGTTATTTGTATGTATACTCCGGAAGATATGCTTAATCCACCTGCAGTAATACAAGTCGGCAGCCCAGTATACTTCACAAGACTTTTAGATATACAAAACAGTGAAACATATCACAATCTACGTTATGATTTGACTGAGCATATATGGCAAAGGCAATTCCAACAACACGATGGCAATGACGACGACGACGAGGATGAGGACACAGATGACGAAAACAAGGTCGGTGGTGACGCGGACGACGAGTAATATTTTCTATGTTTTTTTCGTAATTTAGGTTTTAAATGTTTATGTTTTTTTAAGTAATTTAGATTTTAAATTTTTGTTTTTTAAATTAATGTAAAATGTTTTTAATTAATATTTATGTTTTTGTTTTTGTTTAATAATTATTTTTTAATTTATTCTAATGTAAAATAATAATAATAATAATAAAAAGAAAAATGATGTAGAGTGGTAACCAATTCCAAGGGTTAGTGGTTTGGTAGTGAGTTTGTAGTGGAGCTGACATGATGCTGAGGTGACATTAATTTTTCGGTGGGTTGGGTGCGAGCATACCCCTTATATGCAATTAGGGCCTCTTTTATTTTTACCCCTGGCGGCGGAGGGCTATAGGGGCTTAGGGGGGCCATGGCCCCCCCAGCTTTTTCCTACTTTTACTATGCGTGTGTAGAAATCAAATTAAGCAATACTGGTTAACATTTAACAATGTAAAAATGAAAAGTGAGTACTCTCTCATCTGCCGTCTCCCAAAACCACATCTATAAATATACAGAATAATAATAGTATATTCTATCCTAGTACATATATCCCAGTACATATTATAAATGTGTATCTTTATTATTTATTAATTCTTAACGTCAATATTTACTTTTTTTTTCTAACGATGATAAACTGCTATTATCTACATCAAATAATTTGAATATATTATTTATAATAAGCAATGTTAAAATATCTTGTAACTTTTAAATAAAACAAAATATACTGTAAATAAAAGTAAAAGTTAATAATGTTATTATATTTTTAATTATGATGCCATAAGATATTTTAAATTATTTTGTAATATTAATTTTAGTGACAAATTTTGTTGTTATAATTTTTGACCCAAAATTATATATATCAGCATACTAAATGTTAATTAACTTTATAATACATACAAACTTAATTTTAATGTACATTTAAATTCTCACTGGATTATAAATATACAAAAAAAATAGTTAATTCTTTTTTGTCAAAATAAGCTAATTAATAAAGGAGCAAAAAATTATTTTTTAAAAAACAAAATTTTGTAAGATATCAGTATAACACCATAAAATCATGCAAGATTTAAAAAAAAATCGATGAGAGCTATTTTTACGAACGATCAAAGAATATTTCATGTTAATGGTTTTATTTAGATTTTTGATATGTCATAATTGTGAATCAAATTAAATTTGTTTATATTATTTTGTTTCGAAGTTTGATCCGCCCCCCCTAAATCTAATGCTCGTGTTCCACCCCTGCCCGGGAATCAAATTATCTTGGACCTGTCCCTAAAATGGGAGTTGCCGACAGACCAACCTCCCCGTTACTAGATACCAGGGTAATTTTGTTGTTGAGTTCAAACCATGGTAAAGTTTTTTATAGCTCATATATTGATGCATCTTGGTGTAAGCTGATGTATGTTAGTAATTTTTTGTACAATAAAATATCTTAGCTGTCGTACACATGTATTAATTATCTGAAGTTTAATCGAACAAATTTGTGAATATAATTAATTGTTTCATTTACTTTTATGACTTTTTTATTCACTTAAAAACAATACACCATGCAAGCTATTTCGTTGTATATTACTAATAAATGTCCCCCATTGCGGCACATGAGAAAGTTGTTGGTTCCACATAACTACATATGCCTATTAAACTATGATCTAGAAATATCATATTAAAAACATGTGTTTTATAAAGAGTGGTTCAACTTCAAGCAAATACTTATACTTAAAAGAGTAACATATAAAGATAAGAAGCGTAGTTTAGGCTACAATACCCAACTAAAGTCTCTATTAATTCCTACTTCATCAACTTTCCCTTACATTCAAAAATCAGACAAACTATAGCCTATAGCTAGCTACCCAAAACACCTATGTACACCATGCATGCCATGCTTGCATGTGTTGCCCCCAACCGAATATCATCTATATATACACCCATACTATATATATAATATATATATATTTTATATAACAATAATGTTATAGGAGCCATCCACGCATCAATATATAACAGCTCCAATTCCAATTCCAAAACCAAAAACACCATACTCAGGGAAGTCGGATGCATCTTAACAACTTACTTATTTCAACTGTTCTCAACTGCCATATGCTATATGTATGTATATATAAAATATATCATACTCCCTATCCACCTACAAACATATACCCGTAAATATCACATATATTTGTTCGTAACTATAGATATATAAAAATGGGTTTAATATCATAATTGGGTAACAGACTATTTGAAGGTATTATGTGAACAAACATTCGAGTTGCTTACCTTCTGATAGTACTTTCTTAAACCAATTGTTTTTTTTTTTTTAATTTTAACATCTAAATAGTTTGTTACCCATTTATGACATTAACAACCCTATAAAAATTGTAAAAGCAGAGTTAGTTAATTACCTAATAAAAACCCTAAGCATCCTCAGGACTTGAAGAAGAAAGAAGATTAATCCTTGTGTCCTGGGCATCCATGCCTTCTGCAACTGATGACGTGTCATCACCCCGTGAATTTAAAGCCCCAAGATTCATTCGTTGAACCTCCTCTCGAGTATAAATAAAGATTTTACGTACCATGCCACAAAATTCCCTGATCAAAAATGAAAATTAAATCTCTCAAACTCTTCAAATTTGATATAATATAATATTAAAAAAAAAAAAAGATAAGTTCTTACTGCCATGGATCATCTCCAACAAGCATCATGTCACCCTCATCATCCGTGTACACAACCAACCAACTCTTGTTACGTGTTTTTAATTCTCCATTAAATTCAAATAACTCGTCCAGCTCAGCAATTAATTCGTCATAGTTGTTGAATTTAGTAAGATCCAAAGACCTCCCAAGGGCAATCCCTTGTTTATGAACCTAAAATCAATACAATTTATAAGTCAAAAAAGACCAATAAAAAATTATTTCATTACAACCAATCAATAATACCTTTGTACAACTCCTTGTTGAAACTCCTCCTTGAACTTTGACTTGTGGCTGGGGATTTTGATATTGTTTTTCTCGATCTTTACCAGGTGATGCAACCGTGTTTCCAGCAAGGGGTACACCGAATATTTTACAACTCCCATCTTGTGGCTTCTTGACCTCATTTTGAACAAGGGGCGTTTTCGGAATTACGTCGGTGGAATGAGAAGGGATGTGTAGATACGATGGAAGCGGTGGTGGCATCATCCACTTTGGATTCCGATGAATAGGGTAAGTCTGGAATGGAATATCAACACCTTTCATGGATGACCCCAATAAGTTGAGTGGCAGATTGGAGGGCATTTTGGACCATGGATTTGAAAACTCGGTTGAATTGTTGTGGGACCCAAAACCCGATAATAAGTCCGTGAAAGATGATTCGGTAGGCCTTCCGAAAGGCAAACACCGGGACACAGAAAGGGCGTCGCATGAATCTGAGTCGTTGATCTCTGTAAAAGGTGGTCTCACAGTTGACAATTCTACCCTTGAAGGGTCTGCTGTAGCTATCTTTGATGAACCTTCTCTTGTAAGAACAGAGGAATCAGGAGATGTAGACAAGATACTTGATCGTTGTCTCTTTTGTTTATTGATTGGAAGTGGAGTTATAGCAGGAGGAGTCAAAGCGGGTTCTATTTTCCATGGTGAGACTCTATCTGGACGAGGTACAGTAGATGTTTCATCCCATCGTACCTACACAAGGGTAAAAACGTAAATTCAACATACCAGAAGTCCAGAACATGAAGAAAAAATGGTACAATTAATACCTTCAAGGATCTCCATTTAGATTCGGGCCATCTTTTTGGATCAGACTCTTCAATCCCAACTATGGTTCCAGTAAATCTTTGTTCTGGAGCTTCTTCACCTTCAAACCTCATTTTGAATCTCATTCCAATGGAGTAATTGTTCTTGATGGATTCCATGTACTGATCATATGGAACAATGAACTCTGTGGGGCTAGTTCTAGGCTTGTAATAGACTGTAAAGATTGTTCCTGTTTGTATGGCGTGCCAGGCTGTCGCAAGGACTCCAAGATGCATACTGTGACTGGATATGACAGATGATGGAACATTTGGTTGTTGTCTCATTGCACGTCTCACTCCAACACGAAGCTCTCCATTCTCACCTCTATAGTAGATGCAAAAAGAGAATCAAAAATGGAAAATCAAAACAGAAAATGAGATTTGTTATTTGTTATTTGTTATTTGTTATTACCTTAAGAAAATAAAGGCGTCACCAGCTACAAGTCTTTTAGAACTAACAAAGACACTCCAACCACTTTGAAGCAGATGCCTTCGGGGTTGACCTATACATGCCAAAACATATATCAAGTCATACAAAATCTGATTCAAGATTGAATATGTTGTTACTTGTTAGTAATTAGTTAATTACCACGAAATATGTGTCTGAAGCGCCATTCAGTTCCATGTAAATCTTTGGCTACTAGCTCCTGTGTTGGGGGTTGTCTTGACATGTCCTGTGAGAATCAGATGAACAAATAGGGATAAGTAACAGAAAAAGGAACGGAGTAACAAAGAAGAAGGGTGATGGTTACCAATTGAGGAAGGCATTCATCAGCATGACGTCTCAGAACTGAAAATCCACCATGAGTGCTTGTATCAGAAGCAGTCAACGTTTTGCAAAAAGAATGCACCTGAAATCTGGATTGGGGAGGTGGTGGTGGTTCCTTCTTAACAGCGTTTTCATCTTGCTGTTGTTAAAGAAAATTTAGTAAGAAAACAAACTAATCAAGTATCAGAGGCTCGTTAGTAGTTACAAATATATATGAAATATCAACTCCGTTCATCAAACTAACTCACATCAGCTTCCGGCATCAGAGTTATTTGGGCGAAAACCTCATCTGTGTCTTGTTCAGCCTTCAAACACAAAACAAATATCAGCCAGGTATACAAAACCTCTAGCAAAATCATCAAATTCAACAATATGTACCTTCAATTGCACATTAACAACACGACAAAGGATCTTTGACGGAAGATTATACATCGGCATCTGTTGTTCGGCGACTTGATTGGTTGACGCCTCAACCTAACAAACAAATAATCCGTCAGAATTACTTCAGATTACGAACAGACCAGAAACAAGTACACAGTCACCTTTTCGTAACCTAATTCGCACAAATCCGTGTAAGTTTGCAGTAAAAAAAAGTAAAATTGAACACAACAGCTTCAGAAATTAGCGCTAAATACACAAATTGGTACAGATTCGGACCTGTTCGATGTGTCCTTGAGGAAAATAAAACACTAGCTCGTTTTCGCGAGGCACAGTGACGAGCGGACCAGCACATGCTCGCCAGAGTTCCTTGTAAAGAGCCATATCCGCATCAGCTACACACAAAAAGAGAGAGAAACAGTTCATCACTCGTACATCTTAAAGCAAAACAAAATTTACCATAATAGAACTCCGTCAAGTACCTTTACCGGCACCGGAAACCGCCGGGACAGCTCTTGAATCACCTACCGCATCATTTTTGTCGCTAAAACCAGACAAAGAAAACGTGTCTCTGTCTCCTCTCATGCTGTTATTACCTTTGCTTGAAACCTCTGAAGATGTCATTTCACCACAATAAGCGTCTCCAAACACAGATCTCTAATCTAAAACCCCATAATTCTCAACAATACCCTAAAAATCACAACAGATCAACACAATTTCAGGCCAAATCAGCTTCAAACTAGCATCAAATGAGCAAATTCATCAACACGTCTACATCAACAATCAGACGAGTTTTCTCTCTCTTAGTTATGGAAATTCCAAGAGCAAAGAAGATATTCATCGACTGGTTGGAGGTCAAAACTGGTGTTTGCAGTAATTTCAACCGGTGGTCCAAATTCTAACAACACCCGAGTGGTGACCGGGTATTTCCGGTAACTTGGACCGGGTTTTCTTCCCCCGGGATGATGAACCATATCTATTATCTAAAACGACATCTTATTTTGGCTTTATGCTTGGTCAAGGGAAGATATACCACATAAGGGATCATATATCATAAAACATTATTAAATGTTTATCAGATGATCAAAAGTTGAAACACCAACGTAAAAATAATAATAAATATTGCGAGAATAAATTAGTGTTTTTATTTATACATTTTATTTTAATACAAAAATCATCATATGATTTTTTATTCTTTATAAACAGAAATTCATATATAGTTTATATATAAATACGAATTATTTAGTTTATTTATATAAGATTTTATCATGATACTATTTATATATAGATAAATCGTATATCTGATTTTTATTAACTGATTTGTTATTCATATTTAAATAAATTGTTTTATTTACATTTAAATAACCAAGCAACATGTATAAATATCAAATATATTACAAGTCATATATTAATAACCAGTTAGCTGTAATAAAAACACTATACACTAATTATTCACATATAAATGACAAATTAGTTACTATAAAATCCAGATATACTATTTATTCAAAACATCATATAAAAATGGTTATTTGTAGCTTCCCCTTTTAGATTTAAAAACATTGGAGCACATTTATGATTGGTGAGGTTTTCAATGTCATATTGGTTAAATTTTATTTCAAATATTACCAAGACTCTCTAGTTTGTTAGGTCGGACGGAATGAAGAGGGAAAGAGACATGGTTTAGGGAACCGCACTCAGGAACACCACACTTTGGGTGCTTGGATGCGGTTTAAGCCATGCGGTTTAGGGGTGAGGGTATCCTTCTCGTGTTCTTTATCCTCTCTTGATTAGACAATAACTTAAACGGTTTTTTTCTTCAGAATTTTTAATATTTATTAAATTATATATATACATATATACACTAAAAAATTATAAAAAAAAATATATTAAAATTCATGGTTTTTAAATTTCATACCAAATGAGTATAATATTTATATAAATATATTTTAAAAAAAATAAAAAATAAAAAGTAATAAAATGTGATCATTTTCTGGTTTTTGGTAAGTGAAAGATGAGTAGGTGAAAAACCGACGTTACACATAAAAAATGAATGGTAAGTGATGAGTAGACCCTCCGATCTTGGTCAATAAAAACTTATTTACTTGTAGCACTAGTATGTGATTTATTATGGCATCACGAGACATTCTCTAAGTGTGGGATTTATTTGAAATGCAAGAAAATATAATCACTTGTGTTTCTTATATATGCGAACTACAACAACCTGGTTGTTTAGGGGCATGATTTTTGCATGGCTAGTTTGTTCATAAATTACAATAATTGAGAAATTAAGAAAGACGAACTTCATCTTTATATTTGGCTTTGATTTCACTACAAAACCTTTAATAGTAGTATAGTCATTTGTCATTCATTTTGCTTGTGCATCTAGTTAGAATTTTAAAATCTTTCTTCTTTATAAAAAAGATGAATCTTCTTCTAGTTTTTGGATAGAAACTTTGTTTTCATCTTTGTTAGAATCCTCTACTTTATTATATAACACAACTATTTCAACGATTTCTTTAATAATATTTTTTGCTTTGCCTTTTCTCTTTGCGACCTTTGATCGATTGCACTCTCTTGCATCATCACTTATGCACGGCTGTTTGTTCTTTTTGAAGATTAACTTGATTTACTGTAAACCACACGTGCTCAATTAAAAAAAACATGCATATGAGTAGAGATCAATTCATGTGTGACATTTTGTCAATCTTTTTTAGCGGCAAATATATTATAAAGCTAGCAAGAACTAGATAAAAACCAACAAAAATTACATGCAAGAGATAGCGAGGGTTAGATATTGTAACCAGACAACTCAATTCAAGTTCAGACTACAACACCTAAAATTAACATAAATAAAAGACTTAGTAACAATGTGGTCAAACATCAAACTCTTTTTTGGAGTTTCTCTACAAAAAATACAGTCATTACGAAACCACCAAATATGCTAACCATAAAGTAAGAAAGGAGGCTTCCAAGAACTCTTTACGAACCTTAGACATCCTAAGAGAGCAAAACCAAATAAACCAATCTCGTATAGAGGTCAAAGTAGGCATCACAATATTCCACCATCTACCCAAAAGAAGCAATAAATCACCGACCATGGGGCACCCAAAAAAAAGATGGTTTACCAAGTCCTACTCCTGATCGCAGACTGGACACATAATAGAAGATAAATCATGACCTCTACTAGACAAATTTGCCCTAGTATGGAGCTTATATTCATTTCTAACCACCATCCACCCTATATTCATTTCTAGGGCTAAATGAAAAATTGGTTGAAGTCACTTCCCATCTTTTAATAAGGGAAAATAACTTGTGAAGGTAATTACTTTTTCGTCTTGTTTATGTTTAGACAATTTTTTTTGTATACATTTGACCATTTAATAAGTTAAATGGTTAAATGTGTACAAAAAAAGAAAGTTTTCTAAATGTAAACAATTTTTTTTACAAATTTCTTAAGACTTTTTATAATTTTTACAACATTTTTATGATATTTTTTTCCTATAGTTTTTTCTAATACAATGTTTTAAACTTTGCTTATATTTTTTTTAACTTTGTTTTATACTTTCATATAATTTTCATACAAGTGCTTTTAAACCAAATGTTTTCTAAATATTTTAATTTTTTCTTACAAGTTTTTAATTTTTTCTTACAAGTTTTTAATTTTTTTTTTACATTTTCATTCAATTTTTTTTTATAACTTTCATACAACTATTTCTAAACTTTATTTTACAACATGTTTAAAGCGTTTCATAGATTTTGTATGGCAATAGACAAAACTGCAAGATCGGTCCTTGTGGTATTCAAAAAACTTTGGATGGGGTCCAAAAACTTTTCCACTTGCATAAAAGGTCCAAAATCAAGGTTTTTCAGTGATTTTGGTACCTGATGCACTTAAAAGGTCAATTATACCTTTTTCATTTCTTTTTTCTTTTTTCTTTTGTTTATTTTAGTACTTAAATAATTAAAATAAAATCTCAATCTACCCCACCCCAACCCTCTCCACCGGTCTCTCTCTCTCTCTCTCTAATCGTTGGTATGAATCGAAGAGAGGGAGCAAAATGTCAACCAGAGAAGAGAAGGGCCCAAAGTTTATGTGGTTGTTGTATTTGGTCGTCGCCGGAAGTAATTCATCGTTTCTTCCTCATTCATCATTTTCCTACATCTATAAATACATACGCGTGTAAAATCAGTAATTTGATTTAGAATTGCCTTCGCTTTATCAAAAAACCTGATTGGGTAATTGGTTGTATCAGTCCTCTGTACGGCTACATTCAACAAGTGGAGAGGTATCAGAAAATATGCGTTGCGAGATCAACGGCACTGGCGATTGTTGGAGGAGCCATCTAAATTCGTTAATTGATTAATCACACTCCATGTTAGGGCTTCGTATCGATCCTATCAGCGTGAGGAAACGATTTCTTCTCTAATCAACAATTTTCTTATTTCTTTTGCATTTGCGTTTACGTTTGGGTTTTGGATTGAATCATTTCGTGTTGGTCGGATCTTGAATAAATACACCAAATGTCAAATATTTTGATTCCTTTTTTTTTATCTTCTTTCTTGTATGAGTTTCAGAAAAATTAATTTGGTTGAAAAAGAATCAAGATATCTGAAATGTTTGATTTGGTGAAAAATGTTTGATTTGGTGAATTTAAGTTTGATTGGAACTGCTTAAGGCAGATTGCATATGAAAAGGGTGTTGATGTAAGGTCACACATTATGATCTGATGAGTCAAACACATAACATGTTGATCCATCAACATCAGCGTCTACGAGTCGACAACGACACCATCTACAAGTTCAACAATGTTAGCTTATAGTATAATTGTTCTATTGTAATCTTTTGTATATTAGGAAGTTATTATATATATATATATATATATAATAGATCAGATCTCGTATCTTTATGATAAGATCGTTTCTTAGTATAGGTTAGATTTAATCCCTTTAATCAAGGGATATACATATATATATTAGTATATATACTACATTAGGGCTAACCCTAATGTAGTGCTAGAGTTCGTGACTTTGTGTCAATTGTCTTTGTGACAAAACCGTCTTCTTTGTGAAGACAAAACCTCTTTTCTTGGTGAAAGGAACATTTAGAGAAATCTTGTGTCATTTATTTTCTGTTTCATTCATACTTGAAGTGTATCCGATCATTGACAAACCTTCAATTGGTATTAGAGCAGGTCTGTGATACACTCAAGTAATCATGTCGTCTTCCTTAGTTCCTAAGTCATTTGTTTGTAACAAAATCCCTCCATTTATCAATACAACTTCTCTGATTGGAAATCAAAGGCCACGAATGCTCTAGAGTTCATGGATTTTGATATGCTCGACGTCGTCAATAGAGGTCCTATAGCCGCTTTACATCAATCATAAAAGAATGGTGCATCTGGAAGTAAGCTGAAAGGGAAGCTTGTTTCATGTTACAACAAGGAAGAGAAAAGGATGCTAAGTCTTGATGTAAAAGCTAGAATTGGTATTGGAAACTCTCTTCCTTTTTCTGTTTATCGTTTGGTCCAAAACTACTCAACCGCTCAAGAGATGATGATCACTCTATCATCTGCTTTTGAAAAGGAATTCTCTTCAGACGATGAAGTTAAGTGTCTTATGGCTTAAACTGTTGAATCTCACGCTGACGCTTCACATGATAGCATTGGGATTCTTGACGCTGATTCTTCTACCGCTGTTAATCTCAAGCCAGAAAGGGACGATGCATCAACATATGAGGTAAAAGATCATGTTAATTCTTCTTCTATTCATAATCTCGAAAAAGATGACACGATCGATCTCTTACGTTTTAATTTATTGATCTCAAATAAAGAAAAATCTTCTCTTAGTCTTGAGCTAAAGATTTTCAAAGGAAAACTTTTTTCTCTAGAAAAATCTCTTTCTACTTTAAAAAGGGAAAACACTTATATATCGCTTACCAATAATTTTATTCACACTGAAAAAGAAAAGGTTGTTGATCATGATAATCGCATTCAAATTATCTTGAATTTATGGGCATCCTCTCACTTT